CGGGGCGGGGCGGGGCGGGGCGGGGCGGCGGACCACGACCACAGCGGACCGCCCGCGGGCACCATACCACGGACGGACCAGAGGGGGAGAAAAACTCTATTCTCTCACAACGACAGGGCAGACAGCTCTCATCAAACCTCATCTTTATGGACGAGGAGCAGGGCGCGGTCCTGTAGGGTCCGGGCGCGGCGCACACGCAGCGGGAACACGACGTCGCGCCCCATTGGAGAGCGTCACACACCGCGGGCTTCCGTCGGTGTTTCGGGAGGAGAAGAGGGGCCTAAGTACGGGGAAGCTGGATAGGCCCGGGCTCGGGACCTTTAAGGCCATTGTTTCGTTTGGACGCGACACGATCGTGTGGCGTGGCGCGGCGTGGCGCGGGCTTGTCGTGAGCGTCACACCCGAAAATGAGTTTGGCTTCCTGGGAGAGAGGGAGAGGGGAGAGGGGGCAGCGTGGGAGGCATACTGATCGAGTGATCGGGCCGGCCGCGCTGTCGTTGTACGATCGGAGACGCCGATCTCGAAGCGCACTACTCCTCTGCTGCTGCCGAGGATGAGGGAGGAGGAGGAGGAGGCCCGTCGGGACTCACCGGTGGAGGCCTCGGTGTAGGCGCGACGACCCCGGCGGCCGCGTCGCCGCAGCACGCGCACCAGCAGCACGGCCACCAGGGAGAAGACGGAGAAGGCCACGCCCAGGCCCACGTACAGGGCCGCGTGGAGCTCGCCCTCAGCTGCAACAGACAAAAAATAAAAATAAATTAAGGTTTATATTATTTTCCCTCGCGCAAACTTTAACACCCACATCATCACCTTCACACAAAAGTCGAGCAACGCATTATTCTCAGAACGCCAAGGAGAGAGAAAATAAAATGAAAAAATGGAGCACGGGCACACACACTTCTCGCCCTTCACTTCACCCCTTCCTCTCCCCTTTCCCCGCCAGTCCCGTTTCTTTTTCTCGGCCTCAAACAAAACCCAACTACTCACTCAGCCCCGCTCACCCTTTGTCCTTCCCTCCATATACAGAATACTAAGCTGGGGCGGGCCTAGGCGGGCCCGTGTGTCTCTGTCACCGTCGGGGAGCACCGAGCGCAGCGCAGCACAGCGCAGTGCACTGGTCGGTGACCGTTCAAAAAGAGAGGGGGGAGGGGGGTTCCGGCCCGCCCCCTCTGGGGCCTGGGGGCCCCGCACCCCACCCTGGCCCCAAGAAATTATTAGTTGTAGCATCTCCACGCGGCGGCGGGACACACAGACATGGGTGGTGCTCTCTCTCTCTGACACACACACACACACACACACACACACACACACACACACACACACACACACACACACACACACAGAGACGAGAGGGACGCCCGTCTAAACAGAAAAAGAACGACGACGTGTCAGGAAAATGTCGCGAGCGCAGGGCGGGCGTGGACAAACGACAAAAGATGCAGCGGACTAATTTCCTGCCTCGGGGGCCAAAAGCGCCGCTGCTTCTTCTTCCCCTCCCCTCACTCTCTTCTTCTCCTCCCCTCCCTCTCTCCTCCCCCTCCCCTCCCCCCTTCTCTCCTTCCCCTCGCCTCCTGCCCAGCTGTCCGCCCGCCTGTGCTGCTGCTGCTAGCAAGGAGGCGGGGGTTGGGAGGGGGTACAGGGACAGCCTTAGCGCGGCTGCTGCGGCTATCAGATGTAGAGCAACACGCCCCACACCGACTGCAGCAGAGCACCACCACCGCGAGCCCAAGCCGTGGCTGCGCGACACTCGATAACCCCGCCCTGCCCTACCTGTCATTAACCCTTCAAGGCTCTCTGTCCCTGTCTCTCCCGCACAGCCAGAGGGAACAACAACACTTCCTTGGCGAACGAGGCGTGGACGCTATCGCGCATCTCCTCACAAGACTCTGCCTGCAGGCCTGCTAAGCCCCCCCCCTCTCCACCCCCATCCCCTCTCTCCCTCCGGGACGACACGCCCGCTCAGTCAACTGTCCGTCAAGGCGAGTCAAATTGTTCCGTCTCTGTTTCCGCTGCTGGTGGCGCCACCCCGGGCCCGGGCGGGGGCTGCGTCCCCAGGGCCGCCGCCATGCCTTGCTGCGCTCCCGTCGCCCCTCCTGCTGCTCCCGCTCTGCCCTCTTCTAGAAAATGTCGCTGCCAGCTAAGGTCCCATTGTTCATCGCGGTAAAACGGGATACGTTGAGACGTTGGCTGCTGGGCCGGCCGGGGCTGCGGCCCTGGGGACGCCATGTCACACGGCCGGCCCGCGCCCCGCGGAGCGCACGGTGGATTGAGAAAAACAGAGAGCGCCAGGTGGTGCGGCTCGCGGGCTCCGACTGGACGTCGTGCAGCTACGACCACTAGCACCCACCACCACAGCACCGTGTTGTCTAACTGCTTACCTTCCTCGGTGAGCTGCACGCCGTCGTACTTGGCCTGCGGCACGGTGTTGGGACGAACTGCAACACAGAGAAAAGAAAGGGGTGAGAATGAGTTTAGTGCTAATCCAGTGAGGAAGGTGGCCGCCTACCCCCAACCCTCCGCCCCGCTGCGCATTCTCTCCGCCGCGCCCCAAAACGCCCTGCACCTCTCAGGGACAATTACAACTAACAGCCTCTCGCCACGCGGCCACCCCCGCGCCGATTTGCATGGCGCCGGCAGGCGGCATCTTCCGTTGTTTCTTCCCGCGAGGGGGCGAGATAGGGGCGGCTCTGCAAACGGGGACCCGACCCGACATTTGCGGCATTAAAAAGTTAGCCTGAGGAGGAGGCCGAGCCGCGCCCGCGACTCTTTTCTTCTTCTGTTGGCGACAATTTCATGTCATGTCGTCTCTGCGCCGCCGACTTCCTTTGATTAGCGCTGAGTACCTCCGCGCTGGCGGGGGAGGGGGGCGGGGCAGGGGGTATTATTCCGAGCTGAGCTGTAGCGTCTCTCCCGGCTCCTCTGGCACCACCGACTCTCCAAAGCCGAGCCATTAGTCTAATGGTACCCCCTCGCTGCTCCAGGGCGTTATCAGCCTTATCATCTTCTTCGGGTCACTGGCGGGAGGCCGAAACCACAGCGGCGGGCGGAGACGCGCGGCGGACCGACCGACCGCCCGACCCGAGCCCGGCCCGTCCCGGGGCACGGTCGCCGCCTCAAAGACCCCTACGACCAACTAATCTCAGTGAGGTTCTCGCAACCCCCCCCCCCCTCCTACCCCATTTCTACACAACCCTATGCCCCTTAACATCCCCCTCCAAGGTGGGCCAGGTCAGTCAAAATGACGACACCCCCAAAGAAGTCCGTCTGTGAAACAAACAAAATTGTCTCGGCTTCTTGAATCTGTACTTGAATATTGAACTTCCTCTTCACGCATGCAGTAGCATTGATGCAATGCAAACGAGTGCAAATCATATTGGATTAAGCAAAATATTTAAGTTCACGTTCAGGTCAAGAACATTTTTGCTGGATGTCAAAACGTGGTTTGTGGGTGCAGTATCCGCGCCATCACTTTCAGGCACACGCCGCCCATCTGGCGCTAGACTCACCTGGACACTCGGACACGCAGTCCGCCTTCTGCGCGGGCGCGCCGGGGCAGTCCTTGCCGCCGTTGGCGGGCGCCGGGCTCGTGCAGGTGCGCGTCCTGCGCTGCACGCCCGGGCCGCAGGTGGCGCTGCAGTCGCTCCACGAGGACCAGCCTGACCACGCGCCGTCCACTGCAACAACAAGCAAACAACAACAGTCAGTGAGGAGGCGAGGGCGAGGCTGCCGATGAGGAGTGGCTGATGACTTGGCGGGGCGGGGCGGGGCGGGGCGGGCGGGCC